CGCAAAAAAAAAAAAAAAAAAAAAAAATCCTATCTCCAAATACCATTGCATTGGGGGATAGAGAATCAACATACGAATTTTGGGGGGGTACATAATTCAGTCCATAGCAGCAGCCTTACTGCTTTTGTTTACTTATTCTAAGCTTGTTACTAGGTGCATGTATATTTAGAACAGTTAGGCCTTCTTGATGATTTTACCCTTTTATCATTGGTAATTTTATCCCTGATAATATTTCTTGTTCTGAAGTCTACTTTGATATAAATATAGCCACTCCAGCTTTATTCTGATTAACATTTGCAAAGAATATCATTTTCCACCCTTTTAGCCAATCTGTCTTTATATTTAAGGTGAATTTCTTTACTTATCATATAGTTGTCTCTCCTGCTCTCTTATATAGTCTGACATCCTCTACCTTTTAACTATAGTGTTTTAGACCATTTACATTTACAAAGTTATCAACATAACTGGGTTTAAATCTATCACATTAGTCTTTGTTTTCTATTTATCCCATGTGTTCATTACTTCTCTTTTCTACCTCTCTCTGCCTTCTTTTAGATGACAAGTTTTTTATGATTCCATTTTATCTCCACTATTGTATTCTTAGCTATTCTTTTTTTTTTTTTTGCTATGCATCAGTATACATCTTTAACTTACCACAACTTCTCTTCACATCACATTGTATCAGTTCACGTACAATGTAAAAACCTTACCCAAGTTTCCTAGATGTTTATGGTGAGAAGGTAAATCTAGTCCTAGTTATTTCATCACAGCCAGAAACATAAGCCTCCAAAATGTTTAATAATTTGATTTTTATCTAATATTTGGGGGAAACATACGTTGGGGGACCCTCTTCATATTATACTTCAAAGCAAAAAGCTATATTTCTATTTCATAAAATGAAGAGTGCCACATCTGGTCTAACCAAGCAGTGAATTTTGTTTTAAAGGGTTACAATGCCCACTAGCTCCTTTTTTTTTTTCTTCTTTTAGTTACTAGCTCCTATTCTTAATTTTAAACACAGCCTGCCTAAGACAAGAGCTTCTGACCCAGAATAATCCTTCCTTTACCTTGAAATCATCTCCCTGGCTCTCCGATTCCTGGCTTCATTGAATTCCAGTTCATTCTCCCTCATCTTTGCTTTGATAACCTATTCAAGTTCTCTACTCTGGTTTATGAAAGTTTTAGAAGACAATATATTTTAATGTTTCTCTATTATGGGTTTAGACTTATTTCCCCCAAATGAAAAACATTCCTAATTTAATTAATATAATTCTATGTAAAAATATGAGGAAATATTAAAAGTTTTGTCTTGTAGTCTTTCAGTTCTACATCTATTCTATATAGTGATATCCTCATAAAGAAATATCAGGGGGTTTTTTTGCAGTACGTGGGCCTCTCACTGTTGTGGCCTCTCCTGTTGCGGAGCACAGGCTTCGGACATGCAGGCCCAGCGGCCATGGCTCACGGGCCCAGCCGCTCCGTGGCATGTGGGATCTTCCCGGACCGGGGCACGAACCCATGTCCCCTGCATCGGCAGGCGGACTCTCAACCACTGCGCCACCAGGGAAGCCCAGAAATATCATTTTTAAAAGAAGTATCATTTTGGGCTTCCCTGGTGGCGCAGTGATTGGGAGCCCACCTGCCAATGCAGGGGACACAGGTTCGAGCCCCGGTCCAGGAGGATCCCACGTGCCTTGGAGCGCCACGGCTGCTGAGCCTGCGCTCTGGAGCCTGCGAGCCACAACTACTGAGCCCACGTGCCACAACTGCAGAGGCCTGCGTGCCTGGAGCCTGTGCTCTGCAGTGAGAGGGGCCACCAGAATGGGAGGCCCGCGCACCGCAACGAATAGCGGCCCCTGCTTGCTGCAACTAGAGAGGGCCCGCAAGCACCGGTGAAGACCCAGTGGAGCCAAGAATGAATAGATAAACTAAATAAATTTATTTTTTTTAAAAAAAGTATCATTTTGAAAAGTTCCGACATCCATTCCATGAATAAAGCATATGATTAAAGAGAAAGAATATATCCCCCAAACCAAGAATGTAATACACAGAAGGTAAAATGATATATAGAATGGATTCCTGATTTTCACCACTTCATATTTATTTCACTTATCCAAGAGGCTTTAGAGTTGTGTACTTGGCTGAATTTTTCCTATTAGGTTGAACCACATGAAACTGGAATATTTACAGGTCAAAGAAAGGTCAAATACTGGTGATTTCATATGATTTAACCTCTCACTAATCAATTAAACACAGACCTTGGAGTACTAACCAAAGTGAACATGCGCAGTCTGTATGCTGTTTTAACAGTACACAAGCACCATCTTGTGGCAACAAGCAAAATTGTAGCTCTATACTTGATATTGCTACAAATATATTCAAAGTTTCTCAACTGTTTCCAACATGCTTTTGAAAGGGCATTACAAACTGGTGAAGAACACTTAGATTGATAGTTTGAACAAGCTCAAAACAAATGGCACACCAACATCATGATAATTAGCAGCTAGTCATCAGCCTATACAACATAAACTTTGAAATAAGCTATTTCATAAATTAAAATCTTGACTATTTCTAGTTTTACTGATAATTAACACATTGAAATAAAATCAGTTCAGATACTTCAGAAAACTTTTCACCTATCAAATTTCTACTAGTAGCCATAGCTGTCCATAAAGTTCCAAGTCTCATAGGCTTATTTAACCAGGGGAACTGGAGATGGGGGGAAGAGACTACGACGCCTCAAGTAGGTACCTGGATCTGCCTATAAGAACAAGTAACTTTTTGGCAAAACAGTTCAAATGCCTTCCTTATTTAACTTGCTATGACTCATACTACACATGGTAAGAGAAGACTACTTTACTAACCTAGCTACAAATGACTGGACCAGGAACTGGACACATTAGCCAAAGGCAACCAAATACTGTTTTGACATAGAACACACCAACCATACCTGAGGACAAGAGGCACTTGGCATGGGTGCATGCCATGAAATTGTTCCAGATTGAATGATGGCATCTAATATAACCAAATCCTTTTGGGAAAGAAGTATAAATACTAGATGAATGAAGAATAGATGTGTCACTCAAACTTAGGTTGCATCCTAAACAATGCCATTTTCTCCAAGATACATTACACATCCCTGTTCTGAAAGCTCTAGACCCTAAAGTTCCTCCTCCCATAAGTACCTCCAAAAAACCTTCAAAGCCAAAGATAATCTTCGAATGCCCTTCAGTGAGGCTTTAAAGAATGATAAAATGGACTCCTCCTAAATATCTCCCAGGCAATTTAAACTCAACACAGTCAAAACCAAATCCCTCACCTTTCCAAAGATCCACTCCAACTCCTCTCATTGTGAACACTATTACCAGCGACCCAGATATGTGAAAGTCATCCTTAATACCCTCTATCAACCAATGCCTACAAATGAACCTATTTACAAAACAGAATAGTCACAGAAATTTATGGTTACCAAGGGGAGTGGGGGGTGGGAGGGATAAACTGGGAGACTGGGATTGACACATACACACTACTATATATAAAATAGATAACAATAGCACAGGGAACTCTACTCAATACACTGTAATGATGTAAATGGGAACAGAATCTAAAAAAGTGCATATATGTATAACTGATTTACTTTGCTGTACAGCAGAAACATAACATTATAAATCAACCATACTCCAATAATAATTAACTGTAAAAAAAATTTTTTTAATCAATCCCCAAGTCTACCTCCTAAATATCTAGACACTGTCCCCTCCTCTCCATCCCCACTATTCCAGGCTCTCATCACATTAAGCCTGAATTACAGCATCCGCGTACTACATCTTTCTCCCTTGAATTTTCAGCCTATCCAAACTATTTTCCACATAGTTTGTGAAAGCAATATTCCTAAAACAGATATACAATTATTTTATCCCCCAGCTTAAAATCCTTCGAAGGCTTCCAATCAGCTTCAGGATAAAATCTAAACCTCTCGGCATGCCACTTGAGGACATCCACATTATCGACCTGCCTGAACTTCAGCCTTTTCATTCCACTCAAACCAAACTGCCTGCAAGTCCATGAATGAACTAAACTTCTCAGGATTCCCTGCCATTGTTCCCAAAATCTAGATGGCTTTTTCTTACCTTCTTCACCTGGCTATGCCTCATTAACCTTGAAGATTCAGTTCAGGTGTCAATTCCTTCTGGGAGGCTTCTTTAATTCCCCAAACTGAGTGCCCTGCTTGTTCTCAGTGTTTCCATAGCATTCAATGGACGCATCTATCACTGTGTTAGTTTCTTTTCATTGTCTTCCTCTTCTAGCAGACTAGAGTCTATCAGATTGTCTTTCATCAAAGTATCTACTCTAACACAACACATGGCAAACAGTAGGCATTAGGTAAATGTTTGCTGAATGAGTGCAATCTTGCTAAAGTCCTTTCATTTGGTATTATTATCTCTAGTTAGCAAATGAGGAAACTAAGGGAGGTCCAGGGTCTTGTCCGAGATCACATAACCGAAAGCATCAGAACCAGGATTTGAACCAAATGTTCTGACTGTAATGGAAATGATTTTCCCTCTGAATCTTTGCCTTTAGGGAACCACCATATAAAATAATTGTGCTCTGCAGAGCAGTTTGGATGGGACTAAACCCTGTTTCTCCAGGCTGGGCACAAACCCAAGCTTAGCCAATTAAAGTATCCCCTCATCCCAAATCTGGTCTGAATGAATTCTGGGATCCCCAAATTCTGGGATGCACAGGCTACTCGGAACTTTTCTAAGAACTATACAAAAACAAAAACAAAAATGTGTTCCTCCTCTAGTACTGCAAGTCTAAGGACTATGTAGCATATAAGGTACAGCAAATGGAAGAGAGCGTCTTTGAAAATAAAGTCAAGCACAGGAAAAATGAGACAAGAGCTAGAAAGAGAGAAACGGAAAATGAGGAAAAACAACACTAAAGCTCTGCATCAACCATGCCTGAAGACTTCCCCAAGAGACCTCCCAGTTACATACAGCGGAAAATCCCATTCTCATATAATATAGTTTGGGTTGTGGCCCTTTGGCAATCCGCATCTGTAGATCAGAGGGATTTCCCGCCATTAGCCAAGGAATGATGCTTTTTTAATCTGTGAATACAAAAAATTGATAAGTTATTTGTTGGAGGCCTGATTTCAGCCATTCTACTCCTTGAGATAATATATGTAAGTTTTTATAACAAAGATGGGAGAACAAAAGCATAAAATTGTTCTCCAGGGCTTCCCTGGTGGCGCAGTGGTTGAGAGTCCGCCTGCCGATGCAGGGGACATGGGTTCGTGCCCCGGTCCAGGAGGATCCCACATGCCGCGGAGCGGCTGACTCCGTGAGCTATGGCCGCTGAGCCTGTGCGTCCAGAGCCTGTGCTCCGCAACGGGAGAGGCCACAACAGTGAGAGGCCCACGTACCAAAAAAAAAAAAAAAAAAAATTGTTCTCCAATCTTTGTATCTTGTACTCTGTCGTTAGTGAACAGCGCCCCAAATAAGAAAGAAAAAGATTTCTGGACGTATTCATTTTCAAACATCTTGGGTGCAGCAAAGGGAGACACAGGTATTTTAGAATCCGAGTTGTAACCACAGAGTTTGCTCATGGATAAATCTTTTTTCTCCAGCCATCATAAAATGGGGTGGAGGGAGACCTTTTTATGAGTTTCTCCTTAGGCCTTTGAATAAGTTCAACTGGAGACCCCTCATCAGAAAAGAACAGATTAAAAGACAGCATGGGTAATATCTAATTAATTGATATTATTTTAAATGGAAAATGAAAAGACCTTTTCAAAAATCCCTCTAAATGATACTTGTTTCTTAGACTTCTTAACCTTTCAGTCCCTGGCTTATTAATAAGCTACTGGGCTTCCCTGGTGGCGCAGGAGTTCAGAGTCCACCTGCCGATGCAGGGGACACCGGTTCGTGCCCCAGTCCGGGAAGATCCCATGTGCCGCGGAGCGGCTGGGTCCGTGAGCCGTGGTCGCTGAGCCTGCACGTCAGAGCCTGTGCTCCGCAACAGAAGAGGCCACAACAGTGAGAGGCCCGCGTACCAGGGAAGGAAGAAAAAAAAAAAAAAAAAAAGACGCTACTGATTCATTTGGAGTCTGACAAGGAGAAGAATGTCTCCTCTGACCTTTGGCTCCAAATTTCCTGTAAAGCATTCAGGTGTTGCCATCTGCAAATTAAGGTCATATGTGAAACCATAATTTTAACAGCCTAATGAGTAATGGGTAGGTTTGACCTCTTGTGAGCAGAGAGCTTTTAAGTTGAAACATGGTTTGGCAGCTTACCAGTACTTCCTTATTTTCTTTTTACCCTTTGTGATCTACAGGAAATTCTAAAGACTCTCCAAAAATCTGAAGGGAAAGTCCACTTGATCCATTAAATGGGAATGGCCTAAGGCACAACCCTCTAGAGAAGTCATTAAAAAATTCTTGCAGCCCTCATGACATCCATGGAATCAGATCCTGAAACTAGAAATTGCCAACACAGGAAAAATGACAACAATCTTAACAGAAAATCTAAAACAGAAAAAAAAAAAAAAATCAAACCAAACCACCAGACCCCTGTCACATTCTCACATCCGAACTCCTCTCCCCCAGGTCCACTCTGTTCCAGCCACACTGGCGTCCTGGTGGTGGCATCAACGCGCCAGGCACACGCCTACTTCAGGGGCTGTGCGCTGCTGTCTCTTCTGCCTGAACATTCTCCCCTCTCTCATGACATCCACACTGCCTATTCCCTCTGCTCCTTTAGGTCTTCATCAAAATTGTCACCTTACCCAGGACAGAGATTACTGTCTGATTTTTCACTGTTTGAGCACTAGATTTCTTTCATTTAAAAATAATAAGTTCACTAATCAAAACTTTACTTCAAATAATGGACTACAGATATCAAAATACAATAAGCATTTAAATATAATATCCTCATGAGTCTTCATTATAGTACATTAAAAGTAAAACATCTTTCAAGTATAAAACAGACAAGGTGTTCCTATCTCAGTGATCAAACCTATCTGTTGTACTCAAGAAGGCAAATAGTTTTATTTATATTAGGTAACCTCAGACTGATGAGAAAGACAGTGGTTATGTAACAGAAAAAAGAGAAATAAAGCAACTATAAGAGAAACAGTGTCAACTGTAAGAGAAACAGCGTATCCCTCTTGCCTCCCATGCAGGGTGGACGCCAAGTTGAGAGCTGGTAAGCCTGCCAGTGGATGTTCCAGAGTTAGACGGAAGAGGATGAGAATGGAACAACATCCAAAGGAGCCGAGGAGAGCTAAGAGTTTAGGCCAAGACAGCAAGGGGAAGATGGTAAATACTCTCTGACAGCATTACCGGGGGGAAAAGATGGGCTACAAGTCACCAACTGCAGGTTTCAGCAGGGCAGGCAAGAGAGGTATCAGCTACCTGGTGGACAAGAGACATTACCACAAAGACGAGAGGAGCCCGCACCCTCCCTTCCCACCAGGACAATACACAAAATTCCCCCCAGACACACTGGGGAGGAAGCTGGGAGAGGCGGAAGTTTTTCTTAGAGAACTTGAACAATATTTAAACGAACCATTTACAATTTGAATAGGACTAGATCTTAAATGGCAATTTTTCCACTACCAAGCAAGACTCCAAAAAGCATTAGATTATCTGTTGATTAGACAAGTAACTTCTCCTAATATCTGAATTGTAATAATTGGTCGGTAAATATACAAAATGATTTTAAAAGCATCAGCATCCCAACACTAAAAGAAATGATATGTGACTGGATAGAGGTTATCAGCTAACACTACAATGGCAATCCTACTGCAATATAAATGTATCAGATCAATATATTGTATACCTTAAACTTAATGTTATATGTCAATTATGCCTCAATTAAAAAGAAAAAATGTTTAAGCATCAGCAAATAATATCTGATCACACATGAGAAAGAATTACTTAGGCATGGAAGCAGTGGGAGAAATCACACCAAAAAATTTAATAGATTAGACCATATAACATTTAAAACTGTAGTACATTAAAAACAAACACAAAACTAAAAGCCAATTTTTCAAAAGCAGGAAAATCAAACAAATAGAATAGACAATGCTAATACCCTCAACCCATAAACATTTGAAGACTGATCAAGCAATGCAATAAAAATTAGCAAATTAAAATAGACAAATCAAAATGGACAAGTAACGAATATATTTGAAAAACTGTTGAGCCTCATAAGTTATCAATAAAAGCAAAAAATTTTAAACATACCACTTTTTAACTATCAAACAAGACAATGTGTTTTAAACTCAATGTTGTCAGAATAGTACAAAACATACTAGAAGAAATTAGTATAAGCTTTAATGTAATCAGGTAATATCAATACATTACTCTTCTTAACCCAATATTCCCCTTATAGTAATATGTCTTAAGGAAATAATCAGTGATGTGAACAAAAACTTTCATATAAATAATTTTTACTGCAACATTATTTATAATTGTCAAAAAAAGGAGAGGGGCTTTCCTGGTGGCACAGTGGTTGAGAGTCCACCTGCCGATGCAGGGGACGCAGGTTCGTGCCCCGGTCCAGGAAGATCCCACATGCCGCGGAGCGGCTGGGCCCGTGAGCCATGGCTGCTGAGCCTGCGCGTCCAGAGCCTGTGCTCCGCAACGGGAGAGGCCACAGCAGTGAGAGGCCCGCGTACCGCAAAAAAAAAAAAAAAAAAAAAAAAAAAAAAAAAGGGAGGAACAATCTAGACGATCAAAAACAGGTATTTTTTTTAATATACTTATCAAGTATTCATTGTTTATACCTGTTTAAATACTGGTAGAGTACACCCTAGCCATATGAAGCATTATATAACCATCAAAAATATTTTTCAAAGGCTACTTAAAGATATGAAAAATGATGACTGTATTAAGTGAAAAGAGGGCACAACACTGCATATTCAAAATGAACAAATGATGATATACTCATACAAAGAAACATTATTCAGCAACAAAAACTGTCAGAACCCAGGTACAAGCAACATGGATGAATCTCAAAAAATCAAAAACCGAAAACAAACAAAACAAGAAAACCATTATGTGAAGTGAGAAAAGCCAGACACAAAAGAATAAATACTGTATGAGTCTATTTATAGAAGTTCAAGGGCAGGCAAAACTAACCTATGGTGATAGAACAGCGGTTACTTCTGGGAGGAGGTGTATCAAGTGCAAATAAGTGTGAGGAAACTCTCAGGGTGATGCAAATGTTCTGGAGTTTGATGGGGTGGTGATCACAGGAGGATATAAATATGTTAAAAAGTCATCAAATAAACTATAAATACATATATACGTAAGTGAAATAATAAAGTCGTCAAGATGTACATTTAAGATCTGTGCATTTTACTGTTCATATATTATACCTCCATAAAGTGATACAGAAATTGCATATAAAGGATAATTTCAATTTGGTTAAATATATTTATATGCAAAGAATGAAAAGAATGTGAAGTACAACAAAATATTAAAGGTGTTTAATTCTGGGATTGCAAATTATTTGTATTTTTAACTTTCTGCATTTCCACATTCTCAACAATGAGTTACATGACTTTTATAAATGATCAGGTAAAAAAAACCCTGAACTTTTTAAAAGAATTCTGCCATGCTTGCAAAAGAAAATTCTGTTACACTTGTAACTATCACAAAATTATTCAATGTGCAAAAATACTTAGTAAATCCTTCTAACAACTTTCCTATAAGTTATAAACAGTCATATTTGCAATGTATGCGGAAAAATTAAGAAAAGCACTAATTAAGCTAAGCATCTGCTTGGTGACTAAATGAGCAAGATAACTGGAAAGCCCACACCACACTGTGGAATGAGTTTAAAACATGGTCCTGCGTGCAGCAAACACAGGGCTCTTACGACTCAGCAACAACCAGCTCCTGAAAAAGTTAATTTTCTTTATTTATTACTTTAAGTATTCCTGATAAGCTTGATATATCTAAATTCCATGCAAAATGCCCCAAGTGAATTTTCTTTACAACAAAAATACCTTTTGAGTTTCAGAAACTTTTACAATATGCGTAAAATAATAAATAAGAACAAAACCAAAGAAGACATACAAACCTCTGATTGTACATGCCCCGAAAGTTGTAATTAGCTCTATAATTTGGGAAAGGCTTTGGATCTAACGGCCTGTAGATGGCAGGCTCTCCCCTTTTCATAGCAAGCCCATTCAGTTCCACAGTTGGTGTTATACTACCTGTTTAAAAGAAATATTAAAGGCACACAAGTGAAATATTTCCATAATAAATCATGCAGTCCATATTTATCTTACATATAATTACAATGGAAGAAGGTGGCAGTGGATGCCCTTCTGCCTGATTTTCTAAGGGGGTGCATAAACAAGCTACATAAACAGGAAAATCGTTTCTAGTGAAATCTCTTTGGGGTTGCTGCAACATTTTCTGTACATTAATGACCAAAAATTCAACTTTATAGTCCCACTGTTTCAAAACAAGGAAAACAGAAGATTCATAGATGGCTTTGTTTGGATATTATAAAGCAACTACTGAATTTCAAAGTTCCTTACTCCAGAAAGCTTACAACTACTTAATCATTAAAAGCAATATCATCTGTGAATATTTTAAGTTACATTTTGGTTATCAAGCAACTAGAATTAGCAATATGTACAGGGTCATCAGTAACTCTTGGACTTATCTAATGAAAATAAATTTTGAGTTTTTTCTATAACCAACAACAGGACAAAATAGTAAATACAAGTAATGCTTTCTGTGGATAATCTTAAAAGATACATGCTGAAGCATCTATGGATGAAGTGAAATGTCTGAGATTTGTTTCAAAATAATTCAGAGGACAGAGAGATGAGAAACAAGGTGGGATGTGTGAGTAACTGTTGTGCCTGATAACAAGTACAGGGATGTTCAATAGCTTATTTTTTCTACTTTAGTAAAAGTTTGAAAAATCCCATAAAATATAACACACAATGTACAATTATTATGTCAAGTTATTTTAAGTGCCAAAAAAGGTCATTTAGTAAATATATATGTTCCAAATAACAAATCACAAAAATGAATCTAAAGCTTTTATAGAGAGTAAAATTTATTTCTAATGTAAATTCTGTATTATTTCATTTGAATTATGCCTTTTGCACCATACATTTAAGACTCCCCTTCATCATGAACAAAAATGGATCCGCTTACTGCAGCAGAGAAACTGGGGCACCAAGTACTAGGTGAGGGGTGGTGGAGCCTGACACAAATGCACAACTGGCTGCTAGGTCATAAGCAAGCCATCAAGAGTCATAAGCAGCTCATTTTATGTCTCATCTCTAAAGAATTCACACGAAACCACTGAAGAGCATAATAAGAACAGGAACTAAACCAAGGTTAAGAAAAAGGTAAAAATAAGGGAGGCGGGAGGACAAAGGAGAAAGCAGAAAAGAAAAAGATAAGGATAAGAAAAACAGCAAAGAAAAGCTAACATGTTAGGTAGTAAGTCGAATTAGTCCAAACCCCAAATTTAACACGTACACTCAGGGCAGAGGAAGAGTAAGTCAAGCACAAAGGGATTCTTTCTTCGTTTCTTACAGCATTTTACCGAGGGGTAAGTAAAACGTACAAACCTTAAGCATACAGCTCCATGAGTTATTATACATGTAACACTCATACAACCACCATTCAGATCAAGATCTGAACATTTCCACCACCCAGAAATACCCAGTCAATACCCACCTCCCCATGTTATCCATTCTGACTTCTGTCATCATAGATTAGTTTTGCCTATTCTTCAAATCTAAATGTGTATTAGTTTGTCTTGCTTCTTTCACTCAACATAATGCTTTGTTGAATATCACTTTCAAACTTTACCACTGAAAAGCATTCCACTCAGTTTATCTAATCTGCCCTTGATGGGACATCTGGGTGGTTTTCAGTTTGAGGCTATTAAGTATCAAGCCACCTTGAACACTCTTCAGCAAGTCTCTCAGCAGACATATACACTCTTTTCACTTGGGTATACACCTAGCAGTGGAATTGCTAGGTCAGAGGGTAGGTTCATGTTTAATGATAAAGTTAAAACTGCCTAACAGTTCTCCAAAGATAATTTTTAACACCAAAGAGCCATCTACGCCTTTAGAAGTTTAAATTTTTCTTATTCCATAAAGATTTCAGTTTAATAATTAACAGATTAATCAGTTGTACAATTTATGTCATTATGAATTCTACTTTGCAACAATCAAACAGGCACAAATAGCATAAAGTTCAAATGGGAAAACTAGAAAAGAAAAAAAAAAAAGCTTGAAAGACCTCATCCTTTAAGTATGGCAATAAACAGGAAAGTAATGTGTTTGAAAATGAACAGTGAGATGATTTTAATGCACTGGTAGGATATACTATGTCTGCCATCCACACCAAAATTGCACTTTAAACTAGGTAAAAGTACTGTATTCATATTATTTAAATAAAGAAATAACCTCATACAAATTCCTCATTTGAAAGTAAGGCTACAGTGCATTTTCTTCATAGAAATGCCAGAAACTGGTGTTGTGAAGGAGAGTAGAAGAGAAGCAGAAAAGCACAAACCACACAGAAAAGGTTTCCACTCCTCTGAGTGAAGAACTCCATCTGTTTCCTACAGAATGAGACTGACATCTCCACATGTGCATACCTCTCGTTACTTACATAGTAATGCTCTCACAGAAAACATTTAAAGAATAACTTCAAACTATGAGCTGTCTCTAGGAAATGCTAAGTACCATTGCTTTCAACATGTGACGGTTAGACCCAGGTTGCATAAAGATAATCATTGCATAGGAATCCTCACGTATTTTATGGCTATAGAGTTGACACTGTAAACACATAACCAGTTTTTAGTGGTTTTTAGATACATTAAAGGAAATTTCTATATTTACCAATGATAAAAAAAAGACTGATTAATTAGATATACAAACGTATATCACAACAATTGTGGACTCCTATCATGTGACAGATTAAAAACAAGATGCCACAGCTAGTTTTCAAGGAGCCATGTATTACTAACACTTAAAGAAACAACTTTGTAGGAAGTTAGAAAAGTCCCTGGAACATAGTAGTCACTCAATAAATATTTGTTGAAAGAATGAATTAATTAATCAATAAATCAGGGCTCTTGGAGAAATGATTGGAGTCAGGGCAGGGAAAACACAAGATGACCCAGGAACATCTTAGTGTGCCAGAAAGAAATGCCCAAAGAATGATGAGGAAATTATCTGAAGGACACAGGAGTCAACTTGAAGGGGTCATACCACTGGTCAATTCTGGGACAATTTGAGCATCAAAATAAATAATGACGATTGTAGATCCTAAACCTGTAGGTAAAACAGAAATCCAAGAGCCTATAGTGATATAAATAAACAAACCAAAATGACAGGGACAAGAAAGCTCTTGGGTAGAATGCCAACTAATAAATCGAAAAAGAATACGGAATTAAAAATCACTCTTTGGTAACCTTCAGAGTAGTCATGGATTCAGACAAGAATCATCAATCATCAGTCTTTCATGTAGGTGAAAGAAAGCTTGACAAGGAACGGAATGTTTATATAGTCTCAAAGTACCTCCTCAGAAAATAATTGTTCGGAGCTTCCCTGGTGGCGCAGTGGTTAAGAATCTGCCTGCCGATGCAGGGGACAGGGGTTCAAGCCCTGGTCTGGGAAGATCCCACATGCCGCAGAGCAACTAAGCCCATTCGCCACAACTACTGAGCCTGCGCTCTAGAGCCCGCGAGCCACAACTACTGAGCCCGTTTGCCACAACTACTGAAGCCCACGTGCCTAGAGCCTGTGCCCCACAACAAGAGAAGCCACCACAATGAGAAGCCTGCGCACCGCAATGAAGAGTAGCCTCCGCTCACCACAACTAGCAGAAGCCCGCGTGCAGCAACGAAGACCCAACACAGCCAAAAATAAACAATAAATAAATAAATTTATTTAAAAATATATTTGTTAATTATACTATTTAATAATAAAACATACTTAAAATTAATTAACTTTACAATACAGAAGCCTGGCAGACATACTCTTCACCAAGAAACAAAAGACATCACTAATGGGACAAATCAGTATCATGTGTCTCCTGATATGAAACACTGAGATGAGCCCAGGTCACTTCTGTGATATTCATGCTAAAAATGCATAAATCATGAGGAAACTCCAGACAAACTCCAGTGAGGGGCATTCTACAAATGATGTGTAGAAACATCAAGGTCATAAAAAACAAGAAAGACTGAGGAACTGTTTCAGACTGAAGTGGAATGAAGAGAAACAGTAAGCCCATGATGCTGATTAGATGCTGGTCTTACAAAGGACATAACTGGGACCATCAGTGAAGTGTGACTGGAGTCTGTGGATTACACGGTGATACCAAATCGATGTTAACTTCCTGATAGGACAGTGTCTGTGTACTTAAGAAATAATGGGTAATGGGACACCATGTCCATAACTTATTCTCAAAAGGTTCAGAAATGTTAACCATTCCTGAGTGATGGGTACCTGGGAGCTCTATGTACTCTTTCTACAAAATTTATATGTATAAGAAACTATTTCTAAAAAAAGTTTAAAAAAGTAAGAGGAAGGAGAAAGCAAAGTAGTTCTATGATATCCTCCTCATTAACAGCAGATTTACCCATGCTGTACTAAATTTAACTCCTCTCTGGGACATAACTACTATTTAAGGTCCATCTACTTCCTGTGAAGTCAGGACTGGATCTCCCCTCCTCTGCAGTGCAGACAGGAATGGATTGTCTTTTCAATAAAAGTGCTAAGTTAACTGAATGTCTGTATATTAAAAGGAAGAAAAAAATCTTGACTCCTACCTCACCTCATACATAAACCTCAATTCCTGACAGACTGTAGATCTAAATTTAAAAGATAAAATAATAAAACTTCTAAAAATAATATGAGGTTATCGTCACAATTTTGTGGGAGATAAAGATGTCTTAAATAGCACAAAAAAAGCAGCACCATTCCAGCAATTCCACTTCTGGGCATTTATCCCGAAAAAACAAAAACACTAACTTGAGAAGATATATGCACCCCCATGTTCATGGAAGCAAGCTAAGTGTCCACTGATGGATGAATGGATAAAGAAGAGGTGATGATACACATACACAACTATTATACAGCAATAAAAAAAAATGTTTGCCATTTGTGACAACATGGATGGCTCTTGAAGGCATTATGCTAAATGAAATAAGTCAGACAGAGAATGACAAATACCATACGACCTCACTTATATGTGGAATCTAAAAAAAAGAAAACACAAAAAAACAGAACTCATAGATACAGAGAAGAGATTGGTGGCTGCCAGAGGTGGGAAGTGGGGGGAGGTGTAATAGGTGAAGGGGGTCAAAATGGTACAACCTTCCAGTTATAAAATAAATAAATCATGGGGATGTAATATACAGCATGGTGATTATAGTTAATCATACTGTATTTTATATTTGAAAGTTGCTAAGAGTATATCTAAAGCGTTCTCATCATGAGAAAGAAAATATTTTAATAACTGTGCATGGTGACAGATGTTAATGAGATATTGTGGTGATTTCACAACATATACAAATATCAAACCATTGTGCTGTACAGCTGAAACTAATATAATGCTATGCGCCAATTAGACTTCAATTTTTAAAAAGCACTAACCATAAGGGAAAAGATTAATAAATTAGACTTCGTTAATATAAAAATTTATGTTCATCAAAATGCACCATTAGGAATATGGAGAGATTTGCCATACATATATCTGACAAAGTATATTAATCCAGAATATGTAAGAACCCTGTAAGTCAATAAAAAATTGAAAAAATTTAAAAACTGACAAGGCAGTTTCTTAACAGGAAAAATATATCAACAGCAGAGAAGATCCTAATGGCAACAGGCATATGAAAAGGTGATCACTTTAATTATTAGGGAAATGCAAATTAAAACCACAATGAAATACTACCATATCCCCAGAAGAACAGGTAGAAATTTTAAGATACCCTATATTGACAAGGATGTGGAAAACTCTCATATACTGCTAGTGGGAGGGAAATGTGATAAGTTTGACATTATGTATTAACACTGAAAACATGCAAAACCTATGACCCAACAATTCCAATCCTAGCTACATAGCCAACAAAGATGTATACATCCAAGAATGCTCATAGCAATCTTACTTCTAACAGCCCCAAACTGGAAGCAACCCAAATGTCCACCATTAGTAATAATGAATAAGTAAATTGTGGTATATCCATGCAGTGGGATACTACATAGCAAAGAAATACTAGACTGTTAACACACAACACAATGAGTCTCACAAACAGGACATTGAGAAAAACAAGGTATCACAAAAAAGTATGATGCATGATTCCAACAAGCAGGCACCACAAATCTAGGATGACAGAGAGAAGAGTGGCTCTTTTGGAGATGTTTAACCACTAAAAGAGGGCATGAGGGAGGCTTCTGAGGCACTGGTAAAGCCCGCAAAGTGTTCACAGTGCAAAACGCCATCAAGGCTCAACAACCATAATTTGTGCACTTGCCAGAACATAATATTATATCTTATTTTAAAAATTTACCTCAACAATGAATAAACGTGTAAAATGTCATACAAAAAAACTGTAAATAAATAAAATTAAAATTTACCCCCCAAAATCTACTCATTCTGTCAGCTCACTGCAACATTCCACGGTGGAAACTCTTATCTCCACTGGTCTGAAAGGCCAGTGAGCCAGACTCTCTCCTGTTTCCTTCCTCTGACTCCTTTGCTAGTTTACCTCCGGCTACAACCCTTGGAAGTGGACCTGACCCAAAGCTCAGCACACAACACAAATGGACACTTGTCCTTCTGTCCATTCCAACTTGCCGTGCCAATATTCCAGCAGAGGAGGGGGCAACAGCATTCCATGCACGTGTGTTTCTTTTCTTTCTTCACCCGTAAACTATGGCAGTGGTTTCCTAACTGATTTTGCTTTTGGTATTTTCCACCTTCCATTCACATGTCAAACTCAACTTCCTAAACTGCTCTTTTAAACACATCATCCACCTGCTCGTGAAAATTAATCCAAACTATGGATAACATTTATCTCCTAAAGCTGCAGTCAAGTCCATCACAACCTACCTTCTAACTACATCTCTCGTCTTGTCTCTCACCAGACACTTGCCCTGCTCTAATTAAAAACCGTCTACAAAAAAAATTTTTTTTGCAAAACCCATCATCCAGATTGCTATTCCAATGTCTTTCCTCGTCGTATTCCCTCAGCCTAGAATACTCTTTTCTCTCCTCTATACGTACGTGCCTACTCTCTATTCATGACCTATATCTCACCTCAACCACTTCAGTCCGTGTTTATCGTCACTTATAATACCGATGCCTATTATTACTCACTTGGTACTTAATCTTTACCACTGAGCTACATGTTTTATGTAAATGACTAAAATCCTCACAGCAAAGGACAATGGTTTATAACTCTTAGATATATTAAAGCAAATGCTTAATAAATAGAGGTGGTGGTGGTGTGGTGCTAATGATCAACCAGTAACCTGAAGAGAGTTTTAAAAGTTAAAAAAGTAGATAGTCTCTTACCAGCTTCAAGCTGAATTGGATTTTTTATTTTAATAATATTTTTGCTCATTTACCCATACTTAATAACTACTGGAATCAGCTGAACAGATGCAAAAGGACTACTACTAGGAAAGTCATGGCATTCTGGAGAAAGCAGTCCTTGCAAGAGGAGACTGTCTACCTAACACGTGCCACGTGGGAAAGAAGTGTCTGACCTGACTCAGACCATAAGCATGTGAACTATAATTAAACAGACTACAGAGTCGCTGCTGGCAGGCAAGTGTCTTTTTTCACTCCGTCACAAAAGTACTCCATCTAAAGGAGTATCGGTCAGAAGGTAGCCACTTGCATTAATAGGTTAACAGATGAGTAAATGGACATAGAGCTGGCACTAAACTTATGGAACTTCATTAATTTGAGGCTACCAGTTCATGTACTGTGTCTGATACAGGTTTGCGCTTCCCAAGAGATAACTGGACATATAATGTTTTTGGTACTGCATGCAATTAGAACAACTTTTTCAAATTATTCTTAGGAGATTAAAATTAGAACACTCATTTACTTAGCAGTACATTACACACAGGTGGGTTTTTCGGATTTGTGGGTTTCTTAAACTCCATATGAATGTTCTAAATGTAAATGGCAACCATTTCTACATGAACAAATAAAATAATAAGATGCTTAGGGCTAATTTTACAATTTTCTATTAAACTAAAATAAAGAATAACTTTTTGATTATTAAATTATATATTATACATTTAGAAAGAGAAATTGATCATTTCTATCTTGCTTTAGAAAAAAAAACTCAGTCCTATTTTCTGTTCTTTGTATCCAAATGTCTCTTTATCACACATAAAAAGTAAATAATGCACCTTTAGAGTATCCACTAAAGCAAACTTTTAAAATAATTACAAGTACCATCTTCATTCTCTCACCTTCAGTTATTATTCGGCTGTCTTTACCAGCTGTGCTGTCAATACCTGTTGACTATGCAGTGCGCCCGTATGAAGGGAAATACAGAGAACAGCACATGCAGAAGATGACAACAGGAGGAAACGAGTCAGGGCCATACCTGGGTTATTGTTAACACTGCTTTTGGGCGGCTTCTGAACTGGTTTGGGAAGCGTGGATTCAGTCAAAGCCTTGTTAGCGACAGCCTGCTGGGCCTTCTTTATACTGCTCCCTTCGGATTCCCATGTCTGCTCCCCAAGACTCAGCTGCACTGAGAACATCTTGGAAAAACAGAGACAAAGAAGACATTGAAATTTTTCAGGAAATAAAGTGTGCTGTCTGAGAGAAAAATAGATACACCACAGAATCAAAATTTTAGAGCTAGAGTTGAGCTTACAGATCATTTGCAACAAAAATCTTATTCTAACTAGTGAACGAATTTTAAGAGATTGTGCCAAATTCTGTTCTATCCAAAGGCTTAACGGCAGCTCTAAGTGTACATGTTGGGTAGAGTGTATCAAGAAGAAATCGCTTCCCTAAATGGAATCATACTGTTAATGTCAGTCAAACAGTCTTCAAAACAGTAGAATAAGAACAAAGAGTAAGAGAAACTATACGAGAATCCAAAAGGTCCTGTCTCTGTAACTTTTACAAAATCTAATTCCTTAAACTTTATACCCAGCACAATCTAGTCAGTGAGTCAGGAAATCCTATTAAATATTCTGTCATCAAGGAACTCTCAATCCTCCACAACCAACCTTTAACCAGTCACCAAATTCAGTCAATTTTAACCTCATGAATATTTCTCAAATCTCCTTCCTCTCTCTGCCAGTGACACTGCTACACTGCTTCAAAATCAAATACTTATTGATTATGAAGAAGTAAACGTCTTTGCAGGAAAGAAATCAGGTAGAAAATACCTTTAACAACAGAGTGATTAAAGTTAGCATCATCAATAATCATTGAAAGGGACATCATGTGCCTCTGATATGATCCAATGAGAAGTATGTAGCATTCTTGGCTAAAAATGTTTACCCTGAATCTAATCACAGGGAAACAATCAGGCAGATCTGGGTTATGGTATATTCTATAAGACAACTGACCTAAACTCTTCAAAACTGTCAATATTATGAAAGAAAAAACCAAACAAAAGAATGCATGGGGGCTGTCCTAGATTAAAGGATGCTGAAGAGACATGATGGGGTGTAATAAAGTACAATGTATGATCCCTGACGGGATTCGTACTGGGAAGAAAAGTATAAAGGGCATTTAGAGAACAACCAGGGAAATTTGACTATAGACTATAATATACTAAACAAACTCAGTCAAGTTTAAATTTCTTGAGTGATTATAGTACTATGATTATGAAGAAGAATGTCTTTGGTCTTACAGGATAGATATACAAGTATTTAAGGATAAAATGTCATGATGGTTGAAATTTATTTTCAAATTGTTCAAGGAAAAAGTATGTAATTATACAGAGGGAGCAAGAAAAGAAGTAAATGTAGCAATGCAGTAAATAACTGAATGATTAGTAAATCTGAAAGATCCATTATACTGCTCTTTCAATTTTTCCTGTAGGTTTTCAATTTTTCAATACAGAGTTGAAAATATTTATAAGCATTTGAAATTCAAAATACGTACATATCTATTAAAAGTGAATAATTTTTCTTTTATTCTGATTCAGTTTAAAATTTTTACCTAAAACATATCTTTAATTCATTGACCCCCGATTTTAAAGTGATTTTTCAATGACTAGGTCTTTCGGCTTTCAAATTACAGTATATAACAAAGAACTCTGCCACAAAGAATACATTCTCTCTCCCATTCTCCTCCAAATCAGTTCATGCTCCAGAATGTTCCATCCATTCTTCTTCCAGTAATTCAGGTTCAAAACCTCAACAGCTTCTTTGTTTATCCTTGCTTTCCTAAGACTTATTTAACAACACCTCAAAACTGTTCCTTGCTATTTCTGTTGTCACCACCTTAGTCTAAAGCCCCTATAAACTCAGATTTCCTGCCTCCTAATCTTCCAGATGTCATCACTTTCCCAGTCTCACTGGCCAGACACCTTTGAATGGTCTTCCTTGCCTGCTCCATTTCTTTCTGCATTCTCCCCTGCATCCAGCTGATTCAACTTCATAAATATTTTTCAGATCTGGCCTGAATATTTGCCAATATCTTAGGGAACAGTATCAATGTATCCCTCTCCTAAATTACTATAAGACCATCCTAATGTCACTCCTTTAACATAAGACTTTCCCATTCAAACTATCCTTCTTGGGAATTCCCTAGTGGTCCAGTGGTTAGTACTCTGTACTTTCACTGCCGAGGCCTGGGTTTGATCCCTGGTTGGGAAACTAAGATCCCACAAACCGCGCCATCACCAACATGAACATTCTATAAAATGCAAATGCATCCGAGTCAATCCTCTGCTTTTCTGAAACCTCTTAAGAATCCTCCTTCATTGTACACCTAAAACTAATACAACATTTTATGTCAATTATATCTCAATAAAACTGGAGAGAAAAAAAAAGTCCCACTACAATAAAAATTTTGTAATTTTGAGTAGGACTCCTGGGACATACTGTTTCTGAGCTGAAGTCACAATCCACCATTTACTATGTGTAACATTAGGGAAGTTAATTCTTTCCCTCTGTTTTCTTACTCCTTTAGTGAAAGTGGGGTAATAAGAACACAGAGAATAGTTATGAAAATTAAAACAAAATTGTGTAAATGCCCCCATCTGAAATGTAGAGATTGTCAAACTGGATAAAAAAACAAAATCCAACTGTATGCTACCCTCAACTATAAAGACACATGGTTTAAAAGCAATGGGATAGAAAAAACTTTATCATGATAACATAAAGCAATGAAAGGTCAGAATGGTTATATAAATATCAGACAAAGTAGATTCCAGAGAAAAGACTACAACCAGTGATAACAAAGGTCATTTCATAACGATAAAGGGGCCAGATAATCAAGAAGAGGATTAGCAATCCTAAACACTTGGGCGACTAATAACAGAGTTTCAAAATACATGAAGCAACAACTAACAGAACTGCAAAGAGAAATAAAGAATCCACAATTAAAGTCAGAGATTCAACACTTCTCTCCCAATACCTGATATAACAATGACCAAGCAGACAATCAGGAGGAATACAGTAGACCTGAACAACACTATCAACCAACATAACCTGACTGCAATGTTTTTAAAACACTCTACCCAAGAAGAACAAATATACATTTGTTCTCAATTTCTCACAAAAAATTTACCAAGACAGACAATATTCTGGACCATAAAACAAGTCACGACAAATTCTAAGGAGTCAAGTGATGAACAGTGTGCTCTCTGAACACAATGGAATTAAATTAGAAAAGAATAACAGAAAGATCTCTGGAAAATCTCCAAATATCTGGAAACTACATAACACATTTCTAAATAACCTATGGGTAAAAGAAGAAACCAAGGGGGAAATAGAAAGTTTTTTAAACTGAATGAAAATGAAAACTCTACATTTCGAGAGATGACACTGCTAACAGTACCAAAGGTCAATTTCCAGCACTAAATGCCTACACTACAGAAGAAGGTCTCAAGCAAGTTAACTTCAGCTTTCATCTGAAGAAACCAGAAAAAGAGTAACTCGAACCTGAAGTAAATAGGAAAAAATGTAATAAACATAAAAGCAAACGTAAGAAAATGAATAGAGAAAAATAATAGAGAAAAAAAAAATCAATAAAACCAGAAGCTGGTACTTCTCAAAGATCAATAAGATTTGTAAACCTCTGTGCAGACTAATCATGAAAAAAAGATAAGACACAAATTACCGGTATCAGGAATGAGAGAGGTGACATCATTACAGATTCTTAAAATATTAAAAAGAAACAAGGGAATATTTTTTTTAACAACTTTATGCCAATAAACTCAACAACATTAAGTTCTTAAAAGCCACAGTTACTAAAGCTCATTCAAGAAGAAACAGGTAACCTGAACAGCATTATACACGTTAAGGAAATTCAATCTGTAATTTAAAATCTTTCCACAAAGAAAACTCCAGGCCCAGATGGTTTTGATGATAAATTCTACCAAACATTTAAGGAAGAAATAATGCCAGTTTACAAAAACTCTTCCCAAAACTTGAATCAGAAGCAACACCTCTCAACTTATTCTATGAAGCTAGCATTACCTTGATACCGAAACCAGAGTAAGATACTACCAGGGAAAACAAAATAAAACTACACACCAATACCTCTCATAAAATAAACATAAAAATCCTTAACAAAATATTAACAAATGGAAACTATCAATATAGAAATGAGAGAAGCATTTTATCCCAAGAAGGCAAGGGTTGATTCTACATGTCAGAGTCAGTCAATGTAACTCACAATACTAAGAGATTAAAAATAGAAAAATTTTTTTGAAAAAAGGAAAAATCATATGACCATCGCAATCAATGTAGAAGAACCATATGACAAAAACCAACATCTATTCATGTTAAAACTCTCAGCAAAAAAATAATAATAAAAAAATAAAATAAAGAATTTCCTCAATCTGATTAAAGGCATCTACAGAAAAAGCTACATCTAACATCAAAATTAATGAAGAAAAACTGAATGAGACTGCCCATAGAGTCAAGTTAGAGATATCTGCTCTCACTACTTTTATTCAACATTGCACTGTAAGTTCTACCAATGCAATTAGGCAAGAGAAATAAATAAAAGACATTCAGATTAGAAAGTAAGATTTTAAATTGTCTTTATTTACAAATAGCTTGTGGGACACCGACCAGAATCTTAAAAAAAAACAGAAAGAAAAAGGCTACTAGAACTAATAAGTGAGTTTAGCAAGACTGCAAGATGCTAGATCAATACAGAAAAATCAGTGTATTTCTGAAGCAGACTCACAGATATAGAAAACAAACTAGTGGTTACCAGTGGGGGGGGGGGGGGGGGAAATATAAAGATGAGGGAGTGGGAAGTACAGACTATTGGGTGTAAGATAGGCTACAGGATGGAAC